TCCCAAACAAGTGAGAGACACTAAATATTCATAAAAAAATCTTTAGATTATAAATATATGAATTCTCTCACTTATAAAATGCTCAATATTACCTTTTATAAATAATTTGAAACTTAAAACTCACACTTATTTCTATTGAATGATTTGTTATTTCTTATATTTCTTTATTTTTAATGTGTGCATAACTTAATACAACAATTTAGCGACTGCATATTATACCGGGCATTTACATTTATTGTCAGTGTTTTAGTATATTATATTGCCATTTAAATAAAATGTTTTGTTAGTAAAATGTTATAGAAATTTTTTTTATAAAAAAGTAATGAATAATCTAAGAAAGAATTATCTTACAAAATATATTAATATTATAATTAGAAAACGTTTAGGATTTAGAGTTTAGTAAAATATTATAGTACAAAAATTTAATATTAAAATATAAAATATATTAATATTATAAAGAAAAAAAATAAAAGAAAAAATAATGCTATAAAAATTTAATTCTATAGTTAGTAACATACAAGAAACAATTATAAGAAAATAAATAAATAATTTTTTTAAATAAGTATTAAAAAAATAAGTTATTAAGTAAAATAACTATTAGAAAAATAAGTTAATAAGTAAAATATTATAAAAAGTTATTAGAAAATTAAAAATTAGAATTTTTTGTAATTTTATTAGTAAATAAGTAATTCTTGGCGTTGTCATGATGACGAAGCTCAATGGCAAGAACAAGTTAGATTTTGTTGATGGTTGAATCCCTAAACCTATTCAGATTGATTCTCTTTCTCACTATTGGATGCCTAACAATAACATAATTCCTTCATGGTTATGGGGGAGTGCAACTGATTATTGATCATCTTCAAAATAAGCATAATCTCACTTTTCATGTTTTAATGAATTTTTATTCAAGTCCGTAGTCAAATATAGTTGGTGGATACATTGCATTCAACAAATGTGGTTTTTCTATGGTTTCTCAAGATGAGAAACAAAGGGAAGTAATTACTGCTTCAACTCCTATTGAGTATCTAGTTGCCTTTGCATTTCCAGGTAACACCAAGAATTCCAAGAAAGAACGTCCTATATGCTCCCATTATAGTGTTCTTAGTCATATCAAAGAAAATTGCTTTAAACTGCACGATTTTCATCATGGGTTCGGGAAATCTCAAGGCCCTAAAGCTTTTCCTGAAACCAATAATGTGTGAGATAATTATGCTACAAATGGAGATATTGTAATAACCACAAGCTATATATCTAAATTAATAACCAACAGTATTAATAGTTGGTACTGACTACACAATGCAAATATCTAGAAGTGGACCTGATTAAAATTTTACAACATTACAATCAAATAAGTAATCAATCAGACCAAATCTTCAACAAATCAGAAAGACGCTCTGTAGATTCTTTAGTGCCAATTCCATGAAGGAAAATAGTGACTCAATACACAGTAGAAACTACAATTTTCTTTTAGTGATCCTTACGAATGGGCACGAGCGTTGATGAAAAACAACACCTCTATTCAGTCCACACGAACATACAACCTTCAGTCTCAGTACTAGCTGCTACGAATGAATACTTTGAGTGAGAGAGAAAAACTGATTTCATCAAGTAAAAAAACTTACATACAAGTGTTGTATTTATAGAACCACTTGCGTGGACTGCAAGCTAAAAAACTCAACTTAAGTGATCTATATAATAATAATAATAATAATAATAATAATAATAATAATAATAATAATAATAATAATAATAATAATAATAATAATAATAATAATAATAATAATAATAATAATAATAATATTTTTATTATTATAATAACTTTTATTACATTAACTATTGTTATAATAACTATTATTGTAATAAACATATTTTATTATTATTATTATATTTTATAACTATTATAAAATAATAATAATAATAATAACTATTATTATATTATATGATGTTTCATATTTCACTTAAGTACACCGTACTTTACGGTGTTTCATAATTCTCTCAAGTACACCGTATTTTACGATGCTCCTTATTTATTCTATCTCTCATCAATTTATTTTACGTGTGTGACCTTGTAGGTTCTCGTAACGTTGACAATTATATTAAATCATATACTTAATATAATAAACAGTGACCGGTATCTAGCAACACATCACTACTATCCAAGTCACGAAAATATCATGTGATCTGACAAAACCTTTTCCGTGATAATGTTTGTGTGTATATTTACCATTTTGCCCTCATGTCTATATTGAACACAAGGCATAGACTGTGTCATCCTTGTCCAGTTCAATATTGGATCCTTAGACATTTATCTTGTTACGCGGGATGAGAAAATTCCATCTAGGTCACTCATGTCCCTCAGCATGCTTTGTAAAGTATCCATCAACTGTCTTTATGGTCATCCAGTTACGGATAATGTTTGATCAATAATAAAGCACTTAACTCTACATCTAGGGTCCATAGTGATTTCAGGTCGAAGGGACCATACACCACTTATCACCATGAGAATAACTTATGACACTTTGCATAACATTCTATGTAGTATTCTCATAGCAGGTTAATCCAGTATAAATATTACTCCTAATAGTCATACCTATGTCAAGATTTGATAAGTCCTTATCCATGATCCATGAGATGTGATCATCAGTCTATCTTCATAATAATCTCAATGCTTTAATGATATCCCGCTTTACAATAAAGCTTGACTACATATACTTTAAGAATAATGTCCTTATGTTTAATGAAATCTCATGATTAAGTCACACTTAATATTTCATTAAATAGACTAACTATTCTAGGGACTTTATCATTCTGGAAAAACAAACATAATAAAGAAATGCCTTTTATTATTAATAAATAATTTGATACAAGTACCAAAAGTATTGGCCTCTAGGGCTTACACTAACAATCTTCCACTAGTACTAGAGTCAATCAGGTATACATCTAATACCCATAAATCTAGTATGGCCATCATGCTTCTACTACGCAAGAGGCTTTGTTAGTAGGTCAACGACATTGTCAAGTGTTAGTACTCTGCATATCTTCACATATACTATTTCTATTATCTCTCGGATGAATTGATATCGTCTGAGTGTGTGTTTGGATCATTGGTGAGATCTAGGCTCCTTAGCTTGTGCGATAGCACCATTATCATCACAATAAAGATCAACGGGATCCACAATGCTATGGACTATGCCAAGTTTATAATGAACTTATTGATCTAAACAGCTTCCTTTGTTGCATCCAAGGCAATAATACACTCGATTTCGGTTGTAGAATCAACAACTATATCATGCTTTGAACTTTTCAAGCTTACAACACCACCATTTAAGCAAAACACATAACCATATTTGAATAATATGTCATCTACATATAATATCAGGATGATGATCAATGCTCCCACTAACCTTATTGTAGACACAAGACTCATTTTGATCCATGATTGATACATCACCTTAATTAATTATGAGATAATCATATCTCTCAGGATGGTGAAGTATCATCTTTGATCTATGCTAGTCTTGTTCTACTTGAGCAGGTTGCTCTTCCACAACTACTTGTGTTTCCTGCTCTAGTTTCTCCATAGGTGCACCTAAATATTCTCTTAATCATCAATGATTTGTAAAATTTTGTCAACTGCTCCATAATAGATTTGTAACACTCTACCATTTAGAATGAGTATAGTTGTTGTTTCAAACACAATATATATATATATATATATATATATATATATATATATATATATATATATATATATATATATATATATATATATATATATATATATATATATATATATATATATATATATATATATGAGGCAAATACTTGGTCATTTATAATGATTCAAGATTTTACCGCATCAAAGTTATAATTTTCTTCCTAGAGACTTTCCTTTAGAACTTTATTCCATTGACACAAGATAATGGTACTTTTGACCTTATCCACTATATTAGTCTTTTTCTACTTCTCTTAGGTGTGTAAGCATTGATGAATCACCCTTCAATACTTTTAAAACACGTTTGTTGAGTTAAGATTTCTCACATCTTCACTTTAAAAAACCCAAATTAAGTCAATGTCAATGAAAATACTTATCAATATTCCTTTATCCCATAATTGATGATATTTATTGTAAAATTAAGTACTCGTGGGGCTCACTTGTAAACAAAATTCCTTTGTCCCACCGTTGATGACATTTATTGTAAAATTCAAAGTTCAACTACATCAAGCTATCGTTTAAACCCAACAATAATATTAATATTGTTGATAGTAAAGATTGTGGGACAAAGAACAATATCAACCAAAATAAATTGCCTAAAGCACCAAAATAATCTGCAATCAGTGTAAGCAAATCCACAACAAGAAAGGCGGAGATTAAAAATGAAAACAAAAAGAATTTGTTTATCTTATTTGATAAAACTTGTCTACTTTAAAGGAGATAACAACTATCTGATTCACTATAGAACTTGTTTATCTTATTTGATAAAACTTGTTTACTTTAAAGAAGATAACAACTATCTGATTCACTGTATTTTAAATTTTTTTATAAAAAATTATAAAAGAGTTACAAGAAAATATTTACCCATGTTCTCAAGAAAAACTCTTATTTTTCTACTCAAGGGTTTCCTAATCTCTCAAACTCTCTATGTATGAATCACAGAAACCCAAAATATTACTAAGTATTTTTCAAATTCAAATGATACAATCATAGAAATATCTATCATTACTCCTCTAACTAAGATTACCACGTCTTTCTTATGTCTTCAAATTTTACTAACAAAAATAATAGAGATACATATTTATAAAAAATGAAACAAAATAAATCCATAACATACCCAAAATGCGACCAAGTCTGATAACTAGCAACCGTCTATTCGAACACGCCGCCCAAGTTTATGGTATTATTATAATTGTTTTATAACAGATACTACAACATATTTATTGAAATTTAAAAGAGCGATCTTTTTGCATGTGAATAGACATTCACATCAGATACATATATTTCAATTAGCAGTACAAATAGGAGTTCCATCTGCTTTGAAAATTGTACAACCAGTTTGTGCAAAGCAACAATTACATGCTGGATTGAGGTGTTGATCTCCTGAAGAAGGGCAAGTCATGTATGCACCATTGCATATGAATTGGCAAACTTTAGCATCAGCAATTTTTATATTACCTCCCACAAGAATTGCACCTAAAGCATAAACACAAACTATAGTATAAATTGTAAAAAAAAGATAAAAGTAGAAGAAATAAAGCCAAAACGTTTTGTTGATAGGAAGATAATAGATGAGTTGAAAGATTTACCAAAAACGATGACAAGAAGGATAGTTTCAATTTTTAGAGCCATGTTTCTAATTTACAACATTAGTGAAATTTGTTCTCATATTTATAGTCTAGAAAAATACTCCATTAATTAGTCTAAAGTATGTGTTTTTAATAAAAAATTATCTCAAATTATATGTTGTTTTAAACTAAGTGTAAGTGGGGTAGATCAACTATATGTTGTCAATTTTTGGAAGCAATATTTATTTAAAAAAATAGGAAAAGTTACATCCATATATCTTTGAGGTTTTGAGGTTTGTTAAAATCATACTCATACTTGTTTTAGTTTTAAAATCATACTCGTAGATAAATATAAGTTATACCTACGGTTTTTGTCTAATACTACAAATCAAAGCTGATATCAATATTTATTTTAATAAATTTTAAAGGAAATCAATTTATATTACAAAATTTGAAGGGGTTTCAGTATCATTTTATTATATATATATATATATATATATATATATATATATATATATATAATATATATATATATATATATATATATATATATATATATATATATATATATATATATATATATATATATATATATAAGTGGAGGTGAATGTAATTTAAAAAAAAAATTTGTTTGATCTAATATAACTTTTTTTTTTCTTTTTTCAATTTTTTAAATTTCTCTTGTTATGTTTTAATGGAAGTTAATATTATATAGTAATATATAATAAGAGAGAAACATCATATTTCCGCAAAAATCATTAAAATATCAGGAGCAACAGTTGGCCAATGCCCTATGAGATAAACATATCAATACTTGAATACAGCCGTCAAATTAAAGAGCTCACACTAAAAGTCATATTAAATCTTTTTCAATTTCAACAAGGAAGCCAAGTCAATAATAGTTTTACGTTGGACCGTTACATCAAATTTTATTTCGATGTTTAGAAAAAAAAGAGAGAAGGATTTTGAAAAAAAATAAGAATTTAGTTGGAGAGGATTTTGGAGTTTATTTTTATAATAATATAAATTTTTTAGTTTGAAGGAACTAAAAAAATTATATTGCAATAGAGGTTTGAAAGGTTTTTGAGAGTTTAAATGAATTATTTAAATATAATATATGTTATTATAATATTTTAAAATTAAAAATTTATAAATAACAAATATTTAATTGTTATTTTATACAAAATCAATCTTGGTTCTAGGATATAATTATAGTTGTATATTTCTTGAAATTTTTTTTTTTATGGTGATGGTAGTTCTATTGGTATGAGATCTTATTTATTTTTGGTTAAAGACTCATCTAAAGAGACACCGTATATTCACTAAAATTTTTAAAGTGATAAATGTATGAACTATCTCACTTATAAAGTATTTAATATTTATTTATTTTAAATAATATAGGACTTAGAATTCACACTTGCTTCTCAAAAATCTCTCCCCTCAAAAGTGAGTCCATCTACTTTTTACTCTCCCTCCCCCTCAAGCAGAAGATCTTTCACCCACATATTTATATTGTCGATGACAGACACCCTTACTCGTCATGGGCACTACAACAGAACACGTCGTCTGACCATTATGTCATGAATACTTTCTACATAAGGAGTCAGTCTCTTACTCGAACTAGACTCTAATACCACTAATAAGTGATCATCATGAGATGGAGATATTCACATTGAGTCAAACATTCATTTAAAGGTCAAAGACTTCCTAAATATGTGAGAGACACTACATATTCACCAAAAACCTTAAAATTATAGATGTATGAATTCCCTCACTTATAAAGTGTTCAACTTTCACATTTATAAGTAGTGTGAAACTTAAAACTCACACTTATTTTTAAATAATTATCGAATGCTTTATTGTTTCTTATATTTCTTTATTTTTAATGTGTGCTTAACTTAGTACATCAATTTAGCGACTTCATATTCTACCGGGCATTTGCATTTATTCTCAGTGTTTTAGTATATTATATTGCCATTTAAACAAAAAATTTAGTTAGTAAAATGTTATAGAATTTTTTTTTTAATATAAAATAAGTAATGCATAATCTAAGAAATAATTATCTTAGAAAATATATTAATATTATAATTAGAAAAATTTTAAGGTTTAGGATTTAGTAAAATATTACACTATAAAAATTTAATATTAAAATATAAAGTATATTAATTTTATAAAGAATAAAAATAAAAGAAAAAATTATGCTATAAAAATTTTAATTCTATAGTTAGTAAAATAAAAGAAACAGTTATTAGAAAATAAATAAATAATTTTTTTAAATAAGAATAAAAAAAACTAAGTTAATAAGTAAAATAACTATTAGAAAAATAAGTTAATAAGTAAAATATTATAAAAAGTTATTAGAAAATTAAAAATTAGAATTTTTTGTAATTTTATTAGTAAATAAGTAGTTAGAAAATATTACTATAGTTTCGCACCCACTCATTAGTGACTGATCGCGACTTTGTAGGTCTATCGGGTGTAGTGACTGCAAGTGTACAGTCTATCGCGTAGTATTAAAAGATATAGAATCCACAAAGATTGATGATCAAATTACTGTTATCTTAAAGTCACTATATAAAGGTAAGGCTAATTATAAAATCGGGGTGTTTGGGTTAAATAAGGAATTAATTAAAGTCTAATAATTAATAATGGGACACCGGTATGTATTTCGTCAACTTAAGGGATTCAGTAAGTCATTGGTATTTGTTTTTAGTATTAAAACACCGTTTCGGTGAAAACTATTTGTTTAAAGACCCTCGTCTCAAACTTCTGTTCCATTTAATCATATCATATTAGTTAAGCTCGAAATGAGCGCTTCCGCTGTTTCATTTAAAAATCAAAAGTATTTTTTGAAAACAAATAAAGTCCAATTAACTTTAAAGCGCTTCCGCTGATTTTAAAATTAATGTTTTAATAACCACTATCTGGTTAAACCCTCAAACTTCCGCTCTGTTGATTTTAGCCTTAGGCTGTCTCTTACATCCGTACAAAAAAAATTAAATATTCAAATTGGAAATTAAAACTAGAAAAGTGTTTTTGTAAAAAATAATAATTCCAGTTAATTACCGAATCCTTTCGGTTAAGTTTTACATACCAATATCAGTGAATCTAGCCATGCATAATTTTAATACAGAACAACATAAAATTAAAACGTAAATTCAACAACGCATGCATGGTAAAAAATAAATAAATTATACTTATTAAAATAGGAACCTGAAAATGAATAATAAAGCGATTAATTCAGAGTAATGCGTATCCTCTACAAGCCGGCAGGATTAACTGGAAGTAAAGCAGACGAAGTAAACTTGAATAAAACTACGAACGAAACAAATCTTGAAACTTGAATAAAGCTTTAAAATAATATCAGGAAGATTGATCCAAGCGTTACAAATTATAGGCCTAATACTAATGGTGTGGTAGTTCCCCAATGTGAGAAACTACCACTTTACAAAGTGATTTTTCTACCTAAAACTTCTAACAGCGCTTCCGCGCATAAAACTTGGATGATCAAAACTAATTTCTAAGATCCTCACTATGCCAGAAATGACCTACGAAAGCGCTTTTTTTGGGCTTTAAAAGTGCTTAAAAGCGCTCTCGTAGGTAGCGCTGCTAAAGGTTTTAGCAGCGCTTTTTGTTCAGAAAAAAGCGCTCTCGTAGGCCTACCTATGAAAGCGCTTTTTTCTTAAAAGCGCTTTCATAGGTAGGCCTACGAGAGCGCTTTTTTTCTGAAAAAGCGCTTTCATAGGTGTATTCAGAATGCGTATAAAGTAGGTCTATAAGAGCGCTTTTTGTTCAGAAAAAAACGCTCTCGTAGGCCTACCTATGAAAGCGCTTTTAAGAAAAAAGCGCTTTCATAGGTAGGCCTACGAGAGCGCTTTTTTCTTAAAAGCGCTTTCATAGGTTTTCTACTGAAAAATCTAAAATTTAAAAAATTTCTAAACCTGCATTTTTTTGCAGCAAACCTGTAATTCTTAAACCGATATTTTACAATCTAATCTAGAAATACCAATATATATTAGTTTTAATCCAAATACCAAATGTAATTCAAATACCAAATATTATATATATATATATATATATATATATATATATATATATATATATATATATATATATATATATATATATATATATATATATATATATATATATATATATATATATATATATATATATATATATATATATATATATATATATATATATATACAAATACCATTATAATCAATTCATATCCAAAATATATATACACCATTGTAATTCAATATTAACATGTTTTTAAACGTAAAAAAATACACCCTAAGAAATCAGCTATATAACACTAAGTAAATCAATCCTAATCTACATATATATCCAAGGTCCTGATCCTGCAATATGAACATAATAACACGGTCAGTGTTGTATACACAAAATAATATATTCATAATTAACCAATTTTCACACAACAATGTAATCGTACCTTATTATAAGATTCTTAGCTCAATAAAATATTGGCACAACTCCTCTTTGAGTTCTTCCAATTGACGTGGCGAGTAATATGGACAATTGTATTGATCAAAATACTACATTACAAAACAAAATATATGCATGATTTAGTTTAATGTAATAAATTATATGCAAAATCCGATAAGTAATAAAACAAAGTATAAATCCATACAGTGATTGGAATCTCGATTTCATTCATTTGAATGATTTCTTTGATAAACATCAAAACGAAGTATCTGCAATCTATGCCGTTTTGTTGTTGAGGGCACTACATAGAAAAACAAATAAGATTATACACATCTATTGATTTATCAAGTAGCATAAATATTATAAGCAAAATTGTTGAAATTTATATACCTGTACTTTGATCCAATTAATGTTGTTTGATCTAGACCGTGGTACTCGTGCTCCCCTTTGACATCGGAATACTTGTATTGAACTGATGACAAAATTAAAATATTTATTTAGAACAATGACATTGAAATAATTAAATATATAAACACAAACGAATATTTAGAATAATGTCACTTACGTATCAATCACTAGCTTCATTTTCGGATAATTTGTCCAATCACCGTC